AAAGTCATCCCTCCCTCCTCCTCCTCCCCCCCCCCCCCCCTCCCACCACCCCTCCCCCCCCCCTCCCCCCTCTACCCCATGCACATACCTTCACAGACATCTCCCCTACTGCCCTGTGGAATGAGCTTGACGGGAGGAAGTGGTGTGGTGGCTGGTCCAGGTGATTGAGTTGGTCTCAATGTGGGCGGGAGGCAGAGGAGGGGGGGGAGGGGAGGGGTTTAAACCCGCTTGAAGCATTCGTACGAACAGAAAGCGGTGGCGGGAGAATGCACGTGGTGGGCATAAGATGTGGAGTGGAGGGGGGAGGGGGGGGGAGGTGATACCATGGAGATGAAGATAGGGATGGGGATGGCGGTGGATGGGGAGAAGGGGAAGGGATCTTTAGCAGTGTGTGATGTGATCCGCGTTGATAAGATCTTGGCGTGGCCTAAGGTAAGAGGCCGAGACCGTCAAGGAATGCGTCGTCTGGCCGTCTCGTCTAGTCTCGCCTGGTCTGATATATATTTTTTGCACACCGGACAATCCAAACTGAGTTAGTCATGGCACGCTGGCTTGTCTTGGGGATGGGCGGGACAGATCGGAGCAGAGCAGAGCCGAAATACATGCAACAAGCCATTGTGCACTCTCCAGAGCCACTCGATGGTGCTATTCTTCCATCATTAGGCATTGTGGCCTTTATGGGCGGAATCAGGCGTGGCTATGCTGTTGGCGGCGTGGCAGGAGCATGGCAGCGGTCGGCAGGACACGCCAGCTCTGGTCACCTAGACACGCGCCGGCACTCCTCCCCCAGCCTCGCCCATGTCGGACCCAGACGTGGAGAGGGGCTTGCGCGCTCCACAGCGCCGACGCCGACGCAGTGGTCGAAGCAGCCAGGGCGGGCGAGCTGGCACGGGCTTGGGGGGCTTGGGGGGCTTGGCCGCGGCCGCCGGCGCGGGCTCTGAGACCGACGATGCCGGCAGGCTGGTGGTCATCTCGGTGGTGGACGAGGCGCGTGGGAGCCGCACAGAGTTTGAGTGTAGGGAGCGTGTGCTGCGGTCGTGGATGGCGTACTTTGGCCCGCTGCTGGACGAGTACGCCATCAATGACGACGAAGATCATGTTGCGATCACGGTCCACTGCGACGCGCGCGTCTTTCGCTTCCTCATCGACTATGTTGCCGCCCGCGACGCCGATCCAAACTACGAGCCACCACTCTCACTCAAGAACGTGGTCTCGATCGTGGTCTCGGCCGCTTTTCTCGGCATTCCGCCGCTGGTCCATGCCTGTGCCCATTTCATGGCGGCGCGGCTAGACGCGGTCCTCCGCCTCCCGCTCGACCTCTCATGCCTGAGCGACACTGTGGTCGCCAGCATCGAGCCGCTTGTTCCTGTGGCAGTCTTGGTGAGTCTTGCAGATCCACGTGACGTCCTGCTTCCGCGATTGCTGCGGATGCGACTTGAGCGCGAGCTGGCGGATCCGTGCGGGATGCTGGCGGCTGCCTTTCGGTGCACGGTGTGCAAGCGGGTGGTGGTTCCGGCGCTCGGCGACCACTGTGCAGATGCCGATGTTGGCTTGAGCGAGCACGGCGAGCTTGTGCGTGGGCATGTGCGTGATACAGCACCGATGCCGTGGCGTCCGCTGCTCAAGGCTCTGTTTGCGGCCTGGCGCTCATGGCCTCGCATCTACTGGGCGCTCTACGCCCTCGTCCACGCCCTCCCGTGCGCTGCATGCGACTCGATGTTTGCACTGGCATCGCTGACCACATGCGCTTTTCATCCAGTAGCGTTCAACAGCGTTGTCTACCCCTGCTGCGGAGCGAGCTCGCAGCTTGCTCGCGGCTGCGCGTCGCGCGCGCACGCCCCGGCCCCGACCAGCAGGCGCGACGCCGACAAGCTGGCGGTTCTCGAGTCGCGCTCAGTCGCGCTGGCTGCCGACGCCGACCTGGTGGTCTCGCTCATTGCGTCGCCGGAGTCGCTGCGTGCAGCAGGCTCCCGCCTCTCAAGCCTCGACGCCGCCGCCCTGTCTGAGGACCGCTCCGGCTCGGACGATTCGGACGACTCGGTCTCGGACTGCTCCAATGACCAGCCGACCGGCGCAACAACGGCGCCGCCATCGCGTGGCGGCTACGTTCCACGGCTTGTCACCAAACGAGCCAAGAAGATGGCGTACGGAGACCTGGTTCACGACTCGGAGTGGCGGTCGTACTTGCAGTCAGACCGGGACGCTCATGCATATGCGATGCTCGCCAGCCGGGTGAACAGTGTAACGTCTGCCGTGTGACTAGCCGCCGCTGGGTCAACTCGGTGTCTCGGTGTGTCGCGGGCACACTCTTCTTCCGTCTAACACCCGCATGGAGGTTATTGCCAACTCTATCGATCGTATCCGCGAGGCTGTGAGCAAGTCACCGCTTCTGCTGAAGCAGCATTATGATGAGCTCGAGGCGATCGCACAGCAGCTCGCCGACCTTGCCGGGCGAATGTCGACTGCGGAGAAGGTGAGCAATCTGCAAGATGCGCAGCCGGAAGCGTTGCATCCAGAGGTGGTTTTCGAGGTCACACCTGCCGCTTCCCCGCGCGTTCGGCTGAGGCCGAATCTAGTGCCGATTCCGAGTCCGATGAACATTCCGGCGCCGCAAACGCCGTGTCCGACACGAGTGCGTCTGCACTGTCTTCATCGACCGCAACATCTGCATCGTCTGTCCCAGCCGTCAGCGTCGTCGCATCTACTCGTGCTTTGTTCGAGGCAGCGTCGGTCCCAGCCCCCACCACGCCCTCGATCAAGACCGGTCGCAAGTGGAAGCGTCCGGCCCCGGCCCCGGCCCCAGCCCCCACCACGCCCTCGATCAAGACCGGTCGCAAGTGGAAGCGTCCGGCCCCGGCCCCAGCCCCAACCCCAACCACGCCCTCGATCAAGACCGGTCGCAAGTGGAAGCGTCCGACCCCGGCCCCGGTCCCAACCCCAACCACGCCCTCGATCAAGACCGGCCGCAAGTGGAAACGTCCGACCCCGGCTCCGGCCCCTGCCCCTGTTGCTCTACAGACCAAGCCTCCACCGCCGTCCTTGTCCACGACTTGTATCGTGTACCTGCAGCCAGGCCAGCCTGATCCCCAGCTGAAGTGCGGTCACAGTGAGATCTGTGGGCGCTGCATTGGCGAGATGTGCGCCACAGAGCTGGCAGGCATGTCCCGCATATTGTGCCCGTCGCTCGAGTGCCGCGCACCGATCACGTACAAGGTGGTCTCCACTTGGCTGCCGGAGGACGCTCGCAGTCATCACCTCGACAACTTCAACTTCATTGTCGGCGGCGGCGAGTCCGACAGCTGGTTGTGGTGCTCGAATCCAGACTGCTCGGACGCGTGGCCGGTCCACGCTGCCACCGATGGCGTACTCACCTGCCGATGCACTGCCCGGACATGCGTCGCCCACTCGGAGCCGTGCCTCCCGCGCGGCACGGGCTTTTGCTGCCGTGTCAGCTCGGGTGACTTTGCATCCACCATCGACGCATGCCCATCCACCATCAAGATGTGCCCCAAGTGTGACACCCTCATTGAGAAGAACGGTGGCTGCCGCCACATGACCTGCGTCTGTGGCCATGAGTTCTTCTGGTGCTGCCTCCGCCCCTACCGCCAGATCGAAGCCGCCCGTGCCCACTACAGCGATCCTGTGTGCATCACAGCTGAGCTTTGACCTCGCACACCCTTCACTTCCCCATTCTCCCTCAATCAATGCATCCATCTGTCCATCACTACCCGGCTAGCCCGCCTGTATGGCACGATAACCGTAGAGAACCTCCGATGAGACGTCACAATATCGATGTCGCGTCTTTTGGGAGGGTACGGTGTGTGTTTGTCCGAATCGGCCCGTGCTGGGCTCTCGGTCGAGATCGTGAGATCGTGTTTCATGAGACACGATCTTTCTCCTGATGCTTTTCCCGCTCTCAGCCAAGCCTATCAAAACGCTGCCACTCCCCGTCCCCAATCCAGCAAAGAGACTGTCCCCTAGCAATGTATAACCACAAGATTGTCTAACCATCGTTTGATGGAGCCACTATCTTTGATCACCACCATGAGCTGCCTCGCCAACGCCTGGCGAAACATGTCCTCTTCGCCCACCTGCTGCCGCTCACCACTCGTCGGGGATTGCCACTCGTCGCCGACACCACCGCCAATGGGACTGTTCGGCAAGAAGCTCTCGCCCAAGGAGCAGGTGCGCCAATGGAAGCGCGGCATGCGCCACGAGATGCGTGCTGTCGACCGCCAGATTACCGGTACCTACTCCCTTCCCTGTCCTAGCCAACCCTTCCCTTCCCTATCCCCTTTGGTGTTACAGACCCCCCCCTCCCCCCCCCCCAACGACCCACGCCTTCCATGGCCGACAACTGGTGAACACGGCAGAGGTCCGCTCGCACGTGCGGACACGCCCCCCCCCCCTACCCCCCCTACCCCCCTCCCCACACTCACTCACACCCATGGCGATGGCGATGGGCGTAGCTATCAAGCGTGAGCAGAAGGGCGTGGAGCGTGAGATCAAGCAGTGTGCCAAGAGCGGCGACGTGGTGTCGGCCAAGATCCTGGCCAAGGAGTATGTGAGGGCTAACAAGGCTGTGGAGCGACTGTATACCTCCAAGGCGCAGATGAACTCGGTGATCATGTCGATGGAGGCGAATCTTGCCATGGCCAAGGTCACCGGCTGTCTGCAGTCGTCGACCGAGGTCATGGCCATGATGAACTCGCTCGTCCGTGTCAACGAGATCTCACAGGTCATGATGGCCATGTCCAAGGAGATGACCAAGGCCGGCATCATCGAGGAGATGGTCGACGACACCTTTGAGATGATGGAGGACGACGAGCTGGAGGACGAGGCCGAGGACGCTGTCAACTCGGTCCTCGCAGAGATCACCGATGGCGTCATGGGCGAGATGGCCGGCATTGCCACTGGCTCCTCCCTCCCCGAGGCCGAGCCTGCCGCTGCCGAGGAAGAGGGCGAGGACGACATGGCAGACATGCAGGCCCGCCTTGCTGCCCTGCAGGCCTAGTCCTCCCCCCCCCTCCCCTCCACACACACTACACCATGGACGCGCCCTCGGCCAACACGACCCACCCCG